GGCGCAGCAGCCGAGCAGCCGAGCAGCCGAGCGGCGCCGCGGGAGCGCCGTCCAGCCGCGCGCCGGCCGCTTTATGGGCGCGTCCCACCGGCCTTCGGCCCGCGGGGGTGGGCGCTGACTCACGCCCAGGACCGGGAATTCCCCAGCGCCAGCGAAGGAAGCTGGACCCGCCCCGCGCACACGGTCCGGGATGCCGGGAGGGCAAGTTGGCAGGTTCCCGGCAAAGAACCTGCGCTTGCTCCGTCCCAGCTCGCGGCAACAGCCTCAAGAGTCTGGACCAAGGTCTTGAACTGCCCGGAGTCCCCGCGCCTGGGGACCTGGGTGAAGCTTGAGGCTCCTGGGCCACACCGGAGCTCGATGACTGCGTTAGACCAGCCCGCTAAGTTCGGGACTTAAATGTGTTTAGGTGTACATACATTTCGAATGAAGTCTACAGTACACTGTAAGATTTGATGAATCTTCACACCTCTTCATCTACCACGCATGCCAAGAATTCTGACACTTCCATTCCTCCACTCCTTGGTTCCCTCAGACCCTCTGGAAGCGAATTCTTCTAACCCCAGAACAGAGGCAATCACCCTTCTGATTTCTAAGACCATAGATAAGTTGTGCCTATTCCTAAATTTCATACAAATGAAATCGTAAAGTATATTCTGTTTTTCTCAACTGCCTTAAAACAAACCAACAAAAAAACTTTGTGTCACTGTGTACCGGTGATTTATTCCTTTTCATCAATTATATTAATGTACCGCAAAAACAGTGTTGTTGATTATAAACCACAAATATGTTGGACCTGGTTTGTGGCTATGGTTGAAGGTGTTTTGTGTGGACCTGCAGTTTTCTGGAACCGGGTAAAAGACAAATCGCCACACAACTGTTCTAGGATGGCCTTCTATTTGTACCTGCGCCAGGCATGGATGAAGGTGATATCTCTTCTTTTTTAGAAGGACCATAAAAGTCCTGAGAGGTTTTGAGATTGGACTGGATCCACCCCTTCCGTGTAGTTCCTGCTCCCAGTGCATCTGCTAAAGTTTCTTGCTGCTTTCACATAGCCTATGTCCTACTTTTTTAATGCAAAAAAATAAGAAAATTTGCATTGCAATTTTAGGGGAAATATTGCAGATATTTTTGAAGAAAATTTTAGTCTTCCCTTGATGAATGTGTCTTCTCTCCTCTCCCATTCTTCTTGTTATATTTGACTTTCTCTAGAGAATAACCCTTCCTGAGAATAGTAGGGGGAGTCTAAAGAAGTTCTAGTCCAAGTTCTGGAAGGCTCAGGACACCTCCTAGAGTGGGGTCCGTAGTCAAGGGTATTTTGCATGTCATGTCCCCAGTGCCAGTGTTCAAACACCCTGCTGTCATAGTACAGAAACAGTCTCCTTGGGAAAAGGGCCTGGAAATACGATGAGACGTGATCACCACATATCTATGACTAAGAATGACAGAGCTGTAAAGGTGCAGTAAATCCTGAATCACAAAGGGGAAGGGGAGGCAGGTTTGGATAGATTACTGATTTCCACTCTGTGGTGTGCTCACACAGGCCCATTTCTGGCTGTCATTGAATGCAGCTTTGGGAGAGGATGGACACAGTCAACTCTTCAGTTACAGTGGCTGCAAGCAACTTCAACACATCAGCCACTGAAACAGCCAGCAGGCTTGTGAATAATATGCCCATTGGAGAATCAGATTGGACCCTCAAAGTACTTCCAAACAGGGTGAGAGGAGGAAAAAGGTCAGCATTTACTCAGGATCGTATTCCAGAGAAGACTTAATTTCAAATGCCCTATTCCCATTCTTCTGAATACAATCAAATACATTTCTGAGCTACCTAAAATAAAATTCAAGGACAGGTACTAAAGCACAGTTATTATTCAACATGAACGATCATCATCTTTCTTCTTTGTTCTCAGCTACCGCCTGCCTTTTGATCATCTTTTGCTCATAGGAAAAGATGAGGTTTTTTTTAATCAAAGCACATATTTTAGAGCATTTCACGTTGTGTTGGGAAAATTGACTCTGGAGCCAGAAGAGACCTAGATATTATTGTTTGCTCCTTTGGACAAGACCTCCAAGTTTCTGAGCCTCAGCCTCCTTCTCTGTAAAAAGATCTAATAAGTCTGTTGCACAGATGTGTTGCGGAGGATTACCTCGGACGTCTGAGCACTCAGAGCTTTTCAGTTTCTCACACAATGGTGCAGAATCCACCTAATCCTCTTGTAGCTCAGTTCTTGTTGCGGGCCTAAGATGGCACCGCAACTCCAGTCACAAAAAAGCGCATGCTGGGCTGGCCCAGTGGTACTAAAACCTGTGCTCTCATCA